TTTTACCAAATGTAAAGAAGAAAATGCTGAACTTATGCAAATTCTTCCAGAATAGTAAAAAGCAAAACATAAACACAAACAAAACCAATACCAGCTTTGAAAAAGAATTAAGATTGGAGTTTTATCTCAAGACTTAAAAAGTTACATTAATAAAAATGGTATGATATTGGCATAACGACAGACAAATCAGTGAAACAGAATAGAGTCTACAAATAAATAAACACAAATATAAATCAATTGATTTTCAACATAGATACCAAGCAGTACAACAAAGGAAAAATCTCTTCAACAAATTCTGCTGGAAAAACTGATCAGATATATGCAAAAATATGATTTAATTCTTACCTTACACTATGAACACATATGAAAAATAATTAACTCAAGATGGCTCATAGGCTTAAATACAACAAACTATAAATCTTCCAAAAGAAAACATAGGAGAAAATCTGTTACCTTGGGTTTGGCAAAGATTTCTTAAGTTTGAAACCAAAAACACAAACTATAAAATTTTAAAAATTAATAAACTAGACTTTAGTAAAATTAAAAACTTCAGCTATTGAAAAACACTGTTAACGAAATGAAAAGGCAGAGAAAGTTGTTGCAAAATACATTCTAATAAAAGACTTGTATCTAGAATATATAAATATATTTTATGAGTCACTTATAAGATGACAATCCAATTAAAAATTGCCAAAATATTTCAGCAGACACTTAATCAGAGAAGATATATGGAAGTCAAATAAACACATGAAAAAAATCATAAGGGAAATGAAAATCCAAATCCCAATGAGATACAGAGATACAACTGTGTACCCAATAGACTGTCTAAAATTAAATACTGCTCAAACCAAATTTTGTCAAACATGTCAGGCAAGAGCAACTGGCATAGGCTACTGACAGGAACATGAAATGTTACAACCCCTTTGTAAAACAGCATGGTAGTTTTCTAAAAGTGTTAGGCATACATGGACCATGTGACCTAGTCATTCCAATCCTAGATATTTGCCCCAAGGAAATAAAAATATATGTTCACAAGAAGACTTGCACATAAATGTTCATGATACCTTTATTTGTGATAGCCAAAACCAGGAGATATTGAAATGTTCATCAACAAGTGAGTGGATAAGCCAATTGTGGTACATCCATATAACATAATTCTGCTCAGTAAATAAAGGCATAAACTACTGATACACAATCAACATGAATTAATTTTAATATTATTATGTCGAGCAAAAGTGCAAGACAAGAAATGAATAAAGATGGTAAGATTCCATTTATATAAAATTCTAAAAAATGTAAACAGTCTATAGTGTAAAAATGTAAATTAGTCTATAGAAAAACAGATTAGGAATTTTCTGGGGACCAGAGTGGGATGGACAGGGAGGAGGAAGAGGGAGGGATTACAAAGTAGCACAAGAAAACATTTTGGCGTAATGAACATACACATCGTCTTAATTGGAGAGACAATTTCATGGGTATCTGCATGTACGTAAATATGTGCTGTTTATTACATGTCAGTGACATGGGATAATCCTGATTTTTCTTTTCATTTTATAATTGCATAATGGAAATAATATTGACTTTAGAGTCAGACATATGAGTTGAATACTAGCTCTGCTCTTATATATAATGCAACCTTATGTAAGTTACTTACCATTTTGAGTCAGCTTCTATATTTATTTGTGTAGTAATAAAAATATCATATGTGAGTATAAGAATATATATGTCAAAGGCTTGCTGTATTAAATATAAGAACATGTGTATTTTTCTTCTTTATCCCTAAACCCACTCCGATTACTCTCTTCTTAATGGGTACCCTTCTTGTATTTGACATGTAGCCTTGAATATGTTTGTATGTATGCATGCATATGCTTTAACGTAATTAAATGGCATTGTGCTAAAGCTCTTGTTTTCCCTTTACGCTAAATTTTAAGGATAGACCCTTAGATATACCCTTATTTCTCTATATATGTCCAGTAAGTTGCTTCTAACTGCCGTATTGTATTCCACACCATGGATCCAGCCAAGTTAGTTCATTGACTTCCTAAGAAACAGACATCCGTGTGTCCAATTGTCTACTACCGCAAACCATAACAGAATAAATATCTTAGTACTTGTTTTTTTGTGCGGATCAGAACAAATTCTCTTGGCTGTATATCCAAAAGTGCAATTACTGGACTATAGGACAGACATGTGATGAATTTTACTAACTCAGTACTCGTAGGTTACTTTCCAAAATGATTCAATCAGCTTATACTTCCACCATGACCTTACTAATTTTTACCAATGCAATGGATATAGTATCTCACTTTCATGTGCATTTCTCAGGTTTCTGGTAAATTTGAGTATCACTTCCTATTCTTATTAGCTACTCAGTTTTCCCCTTTGTAAATCACATTCTTACCTTTTGTTCATTTTTATACTGAGTTTCCTGTCTTTTACTTGTTGATTTATAATTCCTTAGAATGTCTATTAATGTCATTAATTTTATGCATTACTAAAAGCTATTTCAGTCTGTCCCCAGCCTATTAACTTTAAGGTGTCATTCACTGACTAGAAATCTTTCATTTTAATATAGTCATAACTATCCTTTCTTAGCCCAACTCTTTAAAAAAAATATTTTTGGGTCATGTTGAAGAAGTACAGTTCCTCACCCATATCTCAAACATAATCCTTCTACATTTTCTTCTATGAGCTTTAAAATTTTCTTTTTAATCCATCGTTTTCATCCCTCTGGAGTCCAACTTTTTATATGGTACAATGTAGGCATTTTTCTCCATGCAGTGAGCCAGTGTTTCAATACTATCTGCTAAAGGGTTTGCCCTGTCTCCATTACATAAGTGGTGCATCTTTATCATATATCACCCACATTTTTTTAATTGAATGCTTCTGGAAGAGTGATGACCCCAAATAAGAAAGAGCATGAGAAATATTCTTGCCTTTCCACCCTCAGGAGGGTACTGGTGACACTGTTCCTCACTATGGGATCAGACTTCTGAAGCCACATGTAAATAGGACATCTTAAACACTCCTAGCAGCCTCAAGTGGATTTTTTTTTTATTAGTATAAAGAAAGAAGTAATCTTATTAGATCAAGTGCATCAGATCTATCAGATGAATTCCTACAATACCTCCAATTTTTAATGGCATAATAATGTGTTTCCATGTCATGTTAGATAAATACAGGTCTGATTTACTGCTTAATTCTGTATTCTACAAAGAGTCCTCAAAGAAAGAGTTTTTGACTGATTACCTGGCTGAGAGCCCACACAGTTACTGGGTTAGGACTCACATGAAGAGGGAAATCTCCTTTAGTGAAAGTCATGATCTGTTTGTCATTGCCTTTTGTTCAAAGGGAAAAGCACCAGAGACTTCAAGGATGCTAGAGGATTATTATACTGTGCAAAAATTAACACGATGTAATTGATCATGGAGCCCTTTGCCAGGACCACAGAGTGCTATGGACTATATATTTAAATGAATATTTCTGCCTTGCCTTTGGATTTGGCTGAAAATTATATTGGAATCTTGTTATTCTGTTTCATTACTCAATGAGGCTGAACTACAAGTGGAAAATAGAATCAAGCAAGCTAGTATTTCTCTTAGAAACTGGCAGTAGGTAGCATTATGAGCTAGAATCCTAACTAAAGGACTACTTTTTTTTTTTTTTTTGAGACAGGGTCTTACCCTGTCACACAGGCTGGAATGCAGTGGTACAATCCCAGCTCACTGCAGCCTCTGCCTCCTGGGCTCCAGTGATCCTCCCTCCTTAGCTCCCGAGTAGCTGGGTCCACAAGTGCACACCACTATGCTGAGCTAATTTTTTTGTTTTTTGTAGAGAGGGGTTATCACTATGTTGCCCAGGCTAGTCTTGAACTCCTGGCCTCAAGCTACCCACCCACCTTGACCTCCCAAAGTGCTGGGATTATAGGTGTGAGCCGTTGTGCCTGGCCTAAAGTGCTACTCTTGTCTAGTACCAGAACTCAGACTTTCCATTCTCGTTGCCCTTGGTTGTACTTGGGCTTTAAGAGCAGAAGATCACATTAGATCTAACAACATTTAAGCTATGCTGATTACACACACAGTGTTACAGTCAGACTTGGTTGTGGTGAATCTACAAATCTACAAGATGCAATTGATAGTTTTTCTTTTTGTCTTGCTCTTGAAAAATTTGCAATAATTCACTATTACAGAACAAAAAGACCTGTGACTTATGTTTTACAGTTTACATAGCCATATGTTATATTGTCAACATTCATGTTCTATCGTATTTTATAAAGTTCTAAGTAATGCCCAACAACCCCAATCTGTTGTGAAATCACAACTACAGACCCACTTGAGAAAAAGGTAAAAACAATGCACATGTTATATGTGTCACAATGAATGTGTCTAAATATGACAGAATATGGATATCGACAATACACCACATCAGCTATGTAAATAATAAAACATGAGTCACAGTTCTTGTCGCTCTGTAATGGTGAGTTACTGCAAGTTTTTCCACCAAGATCAAAATAAAAAGAAAAGCTATGAACACTATTTTGCAGATCTGTAGATTAATTACCACCAATTCTGACTATAACACACTTAATGAAATCTCTGGGTGTCTGTTTACACAAAGATTTTTGGCTAATGTGAATCTAGGTAGGATTCTTGTAAAATTTCAAATATGCCTTTAGGATGGCAACACAGCTGTCGAACCAGAAACTTCAGATGTGTTAATGTGGAAATGTCTACAATTTTCTCCACAAAAGAAAACCCGCAAACATTTTTTTTAGCCTAAGTTTTTACTGGAACATGGGTATCATTATGCTCTTTGATCTCACGCCATTTGGAATATTTCTGAAATCCATATCAGTGACACTAGAGATTCTGTTTTGATGTTCTACAGAAAAATATTTAAGTCAGGATAGGCTATTATATGGGAAAAAAACTTAAGTAAGCTCTAAATGTTCTAACTATATGTAATTTTTATTAAAATAACATACAAAGTCCCCACATTGTATATTTATTTCAGTATATTTTGTTACCTTTACTAATCAATTATATATTCCTAATATCATCAATGGTTTCAGGCATCCACAGGGGGTCTTCCCATATCTGCAGATTAGGGGAGACTATTGTACATTGAAATAGATTCCACTGAAATGGGTTTAATTATCCCTGCTTCTGTTCCTTGTAGCACTTTATTCATAGTTTTTGTCATTATAATACTTATCATACACTATCATAATTAATGATATGCACATCTGTTTTCTCCTATGAGAGGCAATAATCCTTCTCACCCTCTCACAAAGCCTGGTGCAGGGCCTGGCATGAAGTAGTTATTGAATTATTTTAAAACAAAATTGAATGAGTGACCCCACAGACAAGACAACAGGTAACAAAGACTGGGTATTGTAACCGTTCATGTCCTTGAAGTACAACGTATAAGTGAGAGAGAAAAAGGTGTAAGAATGAGGCAGGAAGTTAAAATAAAATTATGAAGTGATGAAAAAATGTAGACAGAAGAGGAAAATAAACGGCTTAAATCCAACCAACATATCATCACAGCTACTATTAAAAGTGAATTTAATCAGAAGCGGGCATACTGCCATACTCAGAGAAGAATTTCATTCCTGAATTATCAAGAATTTCTTGTTTAAGTGTATAATTTTCTTGTATACAGTCATTGAGGCAGAAAAATGGGAAGGATATTATTGATAGAGACCTGCCACAGAAAGAAATCCAATGGATACTGGTAATGTAGCTATTCTCTTTAGAGGAGATGTCCAAGACAGCATGCTTTTATTATCGGTCTGGTGAAGGTGGAGATGGCTGGTATAAATAGTAACAAAGAAATATTCTTTGAGTTCCTACCTTACACCAAAGGCCATGTAATTAATTTTCATAAATTACAAAAATTTGTATGAGTCAGATATTATGGTGTCCAAATTACAAGGAGAAAAAAATGAAGATTAGAAGGATTGAATTACTTGCCATCATTGCAAAATGAGTGGGGAAGCTTTGGTCAAACCAAATTTGGGGGCTCGTCTTAGAATACTCTGTAGCCACCTCCTTTGGTGTTTGGAGACACTGTTAATCACCTACTGCATTATATTAAAATTATTCCCATTTTCAGATACTTTGTTTAGGCGACTTCACATTTGCTAAATTGCAGTTTGAGGATTCCTTTCATGTGAAGTTGGAGGATCTGGCTGTATTCCTTGGGCATCTGATGGAAGCCACGTTTAGGTAGCTTGTTGTCATAATAGTGATGGCTGACAGGTGTGTCTTCTACAGTTTTAGAGAAGGGCCAGAATCCATACAGCTTCACATTTTCACACAGTTCCACTGCAACACTTGTGATCATCAAGCCAGTGGACAAGCGGTATGCAGTCACACCTTTAGTTCTCCAGAAAAGGGCCAGATGTTTCAGGTACTTGGGATGGAAAAATAGAACCTTTTGTCTTGCTTTAGACTCTTCGAGCGTGTAGTACACTTTAAAAGAGGTACCCGTGTTGGCCCTGAAGGAAAATGCTGGCAGAAGAAAAAATGCATCTCCATAGGTTGCAATGTCCTCCAGAAATAGGGCTCTTTTTTCCTTTAAGTTCCCATATCTGCCAAATTAAAAAAAAAATTATAGTAATCCCAAGAATAATAATCAAAGTAGCAGTTTTGATAACATAAAGCTGAATTTACCATTGGCCAAAAAACTGAACAATTTGTATACTGTATATAAAACAGATAAAGTGTGGACTCAGAAAACTCATTCAAGTAAGCATTACATCAATATCAATGGCTAGATCTTCATCTCTCTTTCTTGGAATCCTTTCAATTTTTACTTTCTTACTGGGCTATACCCTTACTGAACAGATATTTCTTGTATTATTTTTTATTCTTATTTGATATTTTTTCCTAAAGTTGCTTCTTGTTATTGAAACACCTTCCAAATGTATAATGATAAAATATTTTTTCAAGCATAGTATGCATATCAATACATTTTTAAAAATTCATTGAGCTGCACATTTATGATTTGTGCACCTTTTGCACATATTTCATTATAAGTTTCCTTTAGAAAACCTAAAATAGACCAGGCACAGAGGCTTATGCTTGTCAGCACTTTGGGAGGCTGGGCGGGAAGATCACTTGAGGCCAGGAGTTCGAGAACAGCCTGGGTAACATAGCAAGACCCCGCCCCACATCTCTATAAAAAATAAAAATATTAGCTGGGAACAGTGGTGCATGCCTGTAATCCCAGCTACTTGGGAGGCTGAGGTGAGAGGACCCCTTGAGCCCAGGAGTTTGAGGCTGCAGTGACCTGTGATTGCACCACTGCATTTTAACCTGGGTGTCAAAGTGAGACAAAGAAAGAGAGAAAGACAGAGAGAGAGGAAGGAAGGAAGGAAGGAAGGAAGGAAGGTAGGAAGGAATGAAGGAAGGAAGGAGGGAGGGAGGGAGGACGGAAAGAAGGAAGAGAGGGAGGAAGGAAGGGAGGCAGGGAGGAAGGAAGGACAGAAAGAAGGAAGAAAGGGAGGAAGGAAAGAAGGGAGAGAGGGAGGGAGGGAGGGAGGAAGGAAGGAAGGAAGGAAGGAAGGAAGACTTAAAATATCTAGATGCAAATATAGATATACATATAGATTATTTTTGAAAATTTCCTCCACACATTGTAGTAACTATATGTATGATTTAAATAACTTAGTATCCTTGTAAGTATAATTGTGAGTGTTTAGAAAATATGCTTTGAAAGGCAAGTTCAATATTTATTTTACTTTATTTCAAGAGATGCTATAACTATTAGCACAAACATTCTATTACTAATGCTTATCGGTTACTTTTGATGAAAACAATGGAGTAAAAACTTTGTATAAGATTATTTATTAACCAACAATTTTATGGTAGTTATGTTGCATAAATGAAAGATGGTAATTATTTTTTAGTAATAAACTCTCCAACGTGATAACCGTATTTTGCCAGGTTGTCTTAGCGCTAACTCTCTGAAGTTTCTAAATAGAGTAAGTTTTATCAAGAAAGTGCTACCAAGATAGAAGAGTAATGCTAACGCTCTAAAAGAAAATGGAAAAAAGTGGCTTCATTATTGTTAAGAGATGAAGAAATAAATATGTTCTCATTTGATTACCTTATGACATTCGAAGTACAACTGAGTCATAACTTTTATGAACAACAACCTTGATAGAATGCCACAATTTGTAAATGAATTCTTATATATTTTTCCAAAAATTCATTCCACCTGTATTGCAAATCAGTCTCAGCAACAAGATTAGTGCTTAAGCCGAGAAACATATTGAACAATGAAAAAATGTTCTTGATCAGTTACGTAACTTGCAGCTACTTACTTCAGAGTTATGATACTAGGATTTATAGTCACAAGATTTGTTTTACTGCCAACATCTTTACTAACATCTCCTGTGGTTGGGGGGAGGTTACACCTGAAATTTGAAAAGAAAATCATTTTCAAAATAGAACTTGTAGAAAAAAGATTGTATACACACATATGCGCGCGCGCACACACACACACACACATATCTATAAAATAATTGTCCTTATGTTGGAGAAATCATTGCTATTAAGAGACCCTCAGAATCCATCTAGTTTCTATTTTAAATTATTTACTTTAGTAATTACTCAGTTCTTAGCTGACATTTCAATGTTGTATAAAATACACACTTTTTTTTTTTTTTGAGACAGAGTCTCACTCTGTTGCCTAGGCTGGAGTGCAGTGGTGCTATCTGGGCTCACTGCAACCTCCGCCTCTTGGGTTCAAGCAATTCTTCTGCCTCAGCCCCCTGAGTAGCTGGGACTAAAGGCATGCACCCAGCTAATTTCTGTATTTTTAGTAGTGATAGGGTATCACCATGTTGGCCAGGCTTGTCTTGAACCCATGACCTCAAGTGATCCACCTTCCTTGGCCCGCCCAAGTGTCGGGATTACAGGTGTGAGCCACTGTGCCCAGCTAAAATATACAAATTTGATCAATGCTTTCAATATGGATAATCACTTTTATAAGTATCAAAACCAGAAATGACAATTACACCTTGTCTAAATTTAGAAGAGTTCCCAATCCTTTTATTAAAATTGTTATTTATATTATTTCTATTGATTATGTTCCCATAGTGGTATGATCACCAATTTGCATATTCTTAAAACCTTGATGTACTGTGACTAAAGTTATACGGTCTACCAGAAGCAAAGACTACATTAAAAAATCAAAACCTCCCGATTCCCATGTGGATAGTTTTGTCACCAAATTACGGTGTTAATAAATAAAATCCTAATATTCTTATAGTGATGTTTTCATACTGATGTTCTCATCTTCCTTTGAGTACTAATTTGCTTTCAAATTGGAAAACAAATTAAGAATTCTAATTTTGAGTAATTATATTCTTGTCACAAAAAAGGAAAAATTGGTTATGACTTTCTAAATATCATTTACTGAATTTCAAGTAGTAAGGCTAAACATAAGAAGGGAGCATCTTTGAGTGCTTCCTAAGGAAGGCTGTTCAAAATTGATGTGGTTTATAACATGACTGAAGGTGAAATGAGTCGTACCATGTCCTGTAAAACACATGAATGAATGAAACACGACTTTCCCTCATTGATATGAAAGCTATGTCAGAAAATAAAATAAATACCGCACCTTGGTAAAATAAATATGAATCAAATATTACTAATAAATATTAAATGATAAAGATTAATCATAGGTACTAGGGCATAAAAGTGACCTCGCTAGTGGGCCTCCCATAACAAATGTCCTTTCTAGAACAGTCTCATATTCTTTTGAATAATCAAAAGTGATTTCTAGTAGAATATCATAGAAGACTCCATAGAGAGGGGTATTTTATAGAGGAAATACAATCAGTTTTGGCTTAAAACTTAAAAGAAAAATATCTCAGTATATATTTAATTTATGAGTCTAAAATAAATGCCCATGTTTCTAGATTCTACTTTTGCTGATGCCAGGTACTTTCCTGAATATAGACTACACACACACACACACACACACACACACACAAACAGTAGTATAGGTCATGGTATGTATTATATGTATATACATATATATTACATTTAAATTACATAACAGCATTATATGTTATATATGTATATGCATAATTTATGCAATATTCATATATTATATATAACATGTATATATAATATGTAATATGTGTGTGTATTATATATAACATGCATATATAATATGTACTTATAATGTATATCCATATTATACATATATAACACATAATACGTTATATAATTTTATTTATTATATAATATGTATATATAACATGTAATACATGTATACATTATACATAATTCTATATCCTGTTATGTAATTTTATACAAAATATATGTATCTATGTTATTATAGATGTATAATATGTATGCATATATTATATAATACGTACATATGTAATATATATTATATTACATATAATACTGTATTATATAGTATACAATATACTATTATATATTGCATATTATACAATATACAATATATTATATACTATATATAATACAGTATTATATATTTATTATACATGTGTGTAATATGTAATATATAAATACTACTAGATCATATGTATTACAGTATACTACAGTATATATGTGATTAAATATATTACTACTGTAATATATATGTGTATATATACTAGTATTGTCATATATAGCAGTAGTATATATAGTCATTGCCTATTTTTGTTCCTCACACACTTAATTCATGGCTCCATATCTTTTGAAATGAAAAATAAAGTTTGCTTTATGAACTATCAACATGCAGCACCAAAATAAGTACAGGCTTAAAAAAATTAAATATATTTTAATGACACCAAACACATTCAGCCCTCATTTTGCCTTTCAGTTCGAATGGCTAGCTTTAAAGGAAATTCTATATTCAAGAAAATACCTGACATCAGCAAATGTGGAATCTAGGAAACAGTTATTTTAGAATTATAAATGAAATATCTGCTGAGATATTTTTCTTCTGGGTTTTAAATCAAAACTTATTGTATTACCTATACTTGCTATAAAGTATAATGAATGGTTAGGCCTGATCCTCATCACAGATGTTTCGGGAATTTTAAGCCTATAAAAAATCTACTGCAAGAAGAATTATCTTCCTTATGGCTTTTTCACACTGAGTACTTGAACAAAATGCGTAAACCATTCAGATATTGGCCATTTTAACACCAATCAGGAAGACCATATTCAATAATTGTTGCACTGTCAGGTCTATTGTGGCTTTATCATTACCTTCAGCACAAAATTTAAAAATGAGATTAAAATTGGGAGGGAGCTGTTTACTAGAAACCGTGTTTCTTTTTCAGTTGCTTAAAAGGGCAGCTTTAAATCAAGAAGGATCAAAGCATCTCCTGTGATGTATGAAGTCAGTGCTCCTAAAACAGCAAGAACCAGACTGCCACTTACTCTCTAAAAAGGTGCATTTCAATTGAAACCCATTCTCAGACGGATGAATTACCTTTCCATTACACTGAGAGAGTGGAGATGCTTTGGTATGGCTTATTAGTACAAGGAACGCATGAAAACCATTTTGTTTCTATTTTTGCATGCTAGCTGACACTCAGATAGAAAACATTTTAAAAGACCAGAACTTAGAAGCAGTACAAATTTGTTTTTTAAATTGCAAGCCAGAAAACGAAATAATGATATAGTTTGTATGGCTGTAAAACGTCTTGATCAGCATTTTCCCAAGTGTTGTCTAAGAACAAAACATCCTTGAAATGCTCTGTTAAATGAAAACAAAAACAAACAAATAAAAAAAGATCTTCAAGGTCAGGTGAGTCTGGGACATGCTGCCCTCCGGAGTCCTCCCAAGGTAGCCAAGGTACCCATGAACGCGCTGAACGCTCTGAAAGTTCCTGCAGTACCAAACCCTCTTTCACCACAACTTCACCCAGGGTTTCCTGAACATATATAAACATAGCACATTTTGATTCTTCTGGTATTGACATTCTGAGGAACTCATGACCCATATAACACTCCAGGAAAAACTTCCCGGGTAATTAGTAGACTTTTGTAACAGAGCTCAAAGGTGATAATATACAAAGGATATCTTTACACTGTCCCCCTCTGAAATACCCAGCTGATCTTTTGTTTCAAAGAAACCAATTCGACAGATCTTACCTAAAAACGAAGTCGGATTTATCTATTTCAGCTCCACAGAGAGACTTATTCAGAATTCCCCCATTTCCGACCACTGCACACTGATTATAAGGGTACTCCACAAAAGGCTGGGACTAGCAGAAGAAAGTGGAAAACTACCATGAAATACCGTTAATTTTAGAACCATAGACAACAGCTTAATTCTAGTAACTTAACTTTTTTACATGCTAAGGAGAAGAATAAGAACAAGAAAAAGCAGCAGCCCAGTTTGCTAATCAACTTACTATGACTTAGTATAAAAAATCAGCTGGGGCTGGGTGCAGTGGCTCATACTTGTAATCCCAGCACTTTGGGAGGCCAAGGCAGGTGGATCACAAGGTCAGGAGTTCAAGACTAGCCTGGCCAAGATGGTGAAACCCCGACTCTACAAAAAATAGAAAAAAAAATAATAATAATTAGCTGGGCGTGGTGGTGGGCGCCTGTAATTCCAACTACTCGAGACTGAGGCAGAGAATTGCTTGAACCCAGGAGGCGGAGGGTGCAGTGAGCCAAGATGGCACCACTGCACTCCAGCCTGGGCGATAGAATGAGACTCCGTCTCAAAAACAAAACAAAACAACAACAACAAAAAACCAGCCGGGTGCAGTCGCTCGCATCTGTAATCCCAGCACTTTGGGAGGCTGAGGTGAGAAGGTCACTTGAGGCCAAGAGTTTAAGATGGGCCTGGGCAACAAAGCAAGATCCTGTCTCTACAAAAAGTAGAAAAATTGGCTGAGTTTGGTGAAGAGCACCAGTAGTCTTTGCTGCTTGGGAGGCTGAGGTAGGGGAATCATTTGAACCTAGGAGTTCCAGGCTGCAGTGAGCCATGATTGCACCACTGCCCTCCAGCCTGGGTGACAGAGCAAGACCCTGTTTCTTAAATTTAAAAAAAAAAAAATGTATAAGTAAAATAAAATAAAATAAATCATTATGTGAACCTAAGTTTCATTTCTCTTGAGAGAAATAGACAACATAGAATACACGGCATAATGTAATAATACAAAATACAGTGTCATGTATTTTTCATCACATAATCAAGGAAAAAAATTAGAATGGCAAAACCCCATATTCTGCCTTTCTGATAAACAAGGACATTTTCAGCAAGAAAGAGAAAATAAAGAAATTAGGAAGCAGCATTAAATCTATTCTAAGGCATAAAATTAATAGGTGATTTAGCAAAAATTTCCTGTGCTTCTTAAATAGTTAGACCTTCAGGCTCAGTAAGGCATTAGATTTATGCCTGCCGTCTCTGCGAATGACCAGCCAGCGTGCTTCAGGGAGGTCTACCAACTGGACTGACATATTTCACATTAATTTCCAAGACCTGAATCTTTTTTATTCCTTTTAGGACCCGGCCTGCTTACCCCAGAAGGTTTCCTATTTTCCCCAAGTTCTCTGCAGTCTCGAAATCTAACTTTTCGATTCAATGGCGTACTTTCCCTTTCCTGGTCACCTTCCATAAAGTAATAATGTGACCTCGAGCCCACAGTTGGGGTGCCAGCTCATGCTTCCCAGTGACGAGGTCCTGATCTACCGATTTTGTCTGTAGGATTAAGGTGTAAGTCCTTGAGAGCAGAGAGGCTGTTTATCATTTTATACAGAGGCTGTTTATTAATTTCCTCTCATTTTTCCCTCCCGATCTTGTGTAGTGCAATGTGCACAGCTTTCAATATCCATCTCATGGCCTTCAACAAGCTCTCCCACCTTCACACACACACACACACACACACTTCACACACACACTTCACACACTTCAACAAGCTCTTCACCCTTCACACAAAAAGGTGGCTTTGTGAATAAATCTTATTTCTTTTGCAAAACCGGTATCACAGTAATTAATTGACTGCACGTGCGCAGAACGAACCTGACCCTGGCCTGTAAGCATTGAAGGGGCCACTGGTAAATATTCAGGAATTTTGTGAGTTGGTTTTTTAAACCATTGGTTACTAAAAAATGTCCAGGATGGGGGTATTGACGCCACTGAATTTGGCAAAGGTTATGAAATCAAGGCACTTCACCCTTGCCAAAGTCAGTTTAGCAGCCCCACTGGCAACAGTCCAGGGCCGACGTGGTTCTGAGCAGCCCAGAGTGACAGAAGATGCCCCAGAACCACCGTGACTGCTGTCTGCCCCTGATGCTGGCTCTGGGAGCTGCCCAACTAGCAAAGAAACTTGGTTTCAGTACAACTCTCTTTGTAGGTTTGTCTTTGAAACGTAAAAGTCATATTGCGCTTTTTAAGCAAGAGACACTATTTCAAATACATACTTTATTAGCACATTTAACCTACACAGCGACCTTTTGAGTATTTTACAGATGGGAAAATGGAGGCATGAGTCCAAGTAACGGACAGAAAGTGGCAGAACTGGGATAGGAACCCAGACAGTTTGCCCCAGAGTACCTGCTCTAAACCACTACACATTATTGTTTCTCACAATTCCATGGGTTAAAATGATAACTTAATGATGTATAATTATGTATCTTATTCCTTGTTATATCTGCAATGGCTAGCAGAGTGATTGGCTCTTAAATGAATGGCTCCCAGATACCTCAGGCTATTTCATGTCACCGAACTTCTAGCTCAAGATGTCTTCAGCCAGTATCTACTAAATGGTGCCACCATAAATTCTGAATTTTATAGATAGGGTAGGATTGAAAAATGCAAATAGGCTCTTTATGGTATAAAATAGAAAAGATTACTGAAGGAAACATATCTCAAATTATGCACTCACAATAATGAATGTTTTTCTCTGGTTTCTTGGTCAACTGGGAGGAAAACATCTATATGCTTTAGTATCTCATGTTCCATATGAATTTAAATAAATTACAAACCTCAACATTTCCTTAAATAAACCTCCTAAGAAAATGCAAATTTGCACACTCCACTGCCTGCTCATTGCCCACTCTGGTTGAAAATCAAGTTTTGGTTTTTTCTCTGCAAGTAACTTAGCAAAGTTTGTGGAGGAAGTGGCTCCACATCATTTCATCAAAACACTTAATGCGATCTTCTTTTGTGCCCAGCAGTTCGTTCCGGAGAGTTGCATGCAGAAGGGCAGAGTAAAGCAAAGTGGCAAAGAGGACATCTCCACCACGAGCCCCGTCCACGAAAGGAGAAGCTGGAGCAACACAAAAAAATGAGACCTGGCGCTGCAATTGGTGCTGTATTGACTGCAGAATTTCCTCTCCTCAGTTTAAAAAAAAAAAAAAAAAAACAGTATAAATTTGGAAAGTGGATGCAGTTCCCGGTGGCATACATAATTATCAGGCCTATATTAAGTTAATCCTTTCAAAGGGTCAAATGAGGGTAAAGTAGTTGCTGCTCCTCTGTTCTGGTCAGTGGAAAACATGGCAGACACTGGCAAAACCTGAATGGATGAATGAAAGGGTTCACTGTCAAACTTTCCAAGGCTTTCCCTGATAGGGAAGATAAATACTCTTTCCTTATCATCTTTTCAATCACTGGTCATTTCAGAGCATCATGAGAATGCTTTATGAGTTATATTTTTTGTCCCCTTTTTCTTCCAGAAAATATACAGTATTTTTTCTCTATCATTTTCTATTTATTTCTCACTCATACTCAACAAGTTATTCTTCCTCTGAATCCTAACATACAAAAAAAATTGGAACAACTTACATAAGCAACAAAAATTAACTGAAAGAGGTCAAAGTTCCAACAAAAAAAAACTGTAAGAATCTCATATCCGGCCGGGCGCGGTGGGCTCAAGCCTGTAATCCCAGCACTTTGGGAGGCCGAGGCGGGCGGATCACAAGGTCAGGAGATCGAGACCATCCTGGCTAACACCGTGAAACCCCGTCTCTACTAAAAAAATACAAAAAACTAGCCGGGCGTGGTGTTGGGCGCCTGTAGTCCCAGCTACTTGGGAGGCTGAGGCAGGAGAATGGCGTGAACCCGGGGGGCGGAGCTTGCAGTGAGCCGAGATCGCGCCACTGCACTCCAGCCTGGGCACAGAGCAAGACTCTGTCTCAAAAAAAAAAAAAAAAAAAGAATCTCATATCTTACAGTTAGTGTACTGCATATGTAGAGGAATCCCGTTTTGACCACCTTGACATGGTCTAACTGCTTTGTAATAGAATCGTAGAAAGATGCTGGAGAGCGTATGTTTAGAAGCAATGAGATGTTTATGTTCCTCAGAACCAAAATTTCCCCGTGAGGATTTGTATTAAGGGTCGAGTTTCTCCTCACTGTGTGAAGTGGCTTTTTATCATATCATTACTCATTCTTCTAATTTTACAAATAGGTAGTGAGTGCATATACGTACTGGGAAATGTTCTCGGGGTTTGGGATATATCAGTGAACACAGCAGACAACAATCTCTATCTTATGGTGGGTACGTTTATTGACTATAAATCTCACCTATTTACTTTCCAAAGATGAGCCACATAAACGCACCGTTCCTTGTGAAGGAATTGATTTAGTCACCATAACTGACAATTGGAAGAATCTTATTTGAGGTGAAAAATGGCCGTCTTCACACGCCTCAGTGATTACTAAGCAGGAAGCCCAAGCGTCTCATCTCATTCGAAGAAGAGTCTGGAAGACTCAGGACTGGAAGAGCTTATCATTTAAGATATAAATAATCCTTCCCTACAGAGCCACACTGCATTCAAAACAGCCCTTTTAAAAAATGGCCCACCATCCAAATTGTATACAACATAACAATATGGTATTTTAATTAATTCCATCATAATTGTAAGTTACAGCTTAAAGTAAAAGAAAATTCACCTGGAATGGTAACACAAATAACCCACCACAAATCTTTACTCACCACTGGAAACATATGAAAAATGTTCTTTTTAATTGGGATTTTCTTTTTGCTTTCCACCTCGTAACTCATGTTAGTCCCAACTGGAGTGTTATTCTGAGAAACAACAAAGTTTTGAACAGCATCACAGCAGGAAGCAAGTTTTGCTCTGCAAAGGAAAAGAATGAAAAGGAAGCCAAGGTATAAGATTAAGAAACTTAAAATAGACACCACAATGGATGATGCAAAAGAGGATTTTGTCAGACTGACTTTCAAAAAGAAGATTATTCACAAAGATGACTTTGTTATTTTTCCTCCAGGCTCTAAATCCCTTAAGGATTGGGACTGATTCTCTTTCTTACTTTTTTTTTTTTTTTTCCTTCCTTTAATTTTTTTTTAATTTTTTTTTATTTTTTTTTATTTTACTTTAAATTCCAGGATACATATACAGACAAGGTGGTTTGTTACATAGGTATATATGTGCCATGGTCATTTGCTGCACCTATTAACCCGTCATCTAGGTTTTAAGCCCCACATGCATTAGATATTTGTCCTCCCCTTACCCCCAACAGGTACCAGTGTGAGATGTTCCCCTCCCTGTGTCCATGTGTTCTCATTGTTCAACTCCCACTTATGAGTGAGAACATCTGGTGTTTGGTTTTCTGTTTCTGTGTTAGTTTGCTGAGGATGATGGCTTCCAACTTCATCCATGTCCCTGCAAAGGACATGATCTCATTCCTTTTTATGGCTGCATAGTATTCAATGGTGTATATGTGCCATATTTTCTTTGTCCAGTCTATCATTGATGGGCATTTGCGTTGGTTCCATGTCTTTGCTATTGTAAACAGTGCTGCAATAAACATACATGTACATGTGCCTTTATAGTAGAATGATTTATATTTCTTTAACTATATACCCAGTAATGGGATTGCTGGGTCAAATGGTATTTCTGGTTCTAGATCCTTGGGGAGTCGTCACACTGTCTTCCACAATGGTTGAACTAACTTACATTCCCACCAACAGTGTAAAAGCGTTCCTATTTCTCCACAGCCTCAACTGCATCTATTTCTTGACTTTATTTTTTTATTTTTTGAGACAGAGTCTCACTCTCTCTCACGCTGGAGTGCAGTGGCATGATCTCAGGTTCACTGCAACCTCCGCCTCCTGGGTTCAGGCGATTCTCCTGCCTCAGCCTCCTGAGTACCTGGGATTACAAGTGTGCACCACCCAGGCCTTGCTAATTTTTTTTAGTAGGGAGAGGGTTTCACCATGTTGGCCAGACTGGTCTCGAACTATTGACCTCAAGTGATCTGCCTGCCTCAGCCTCCCAATGTGCTATTTCTTGACTTTTTAACAATTGCCATTCTGACTGGTGTGAGATGGTATTTGATTGTGGTTTTAATTTGCATTCTCTAGTGACCATTGATGATGAGCTTTTTTTCATGTTTGTTGACTGCATAAATGTCTTCTTTTGAGAAGTGTCTGTTCACATCCTGGGGTTGTTTCATTTTTCTTGTACATTTGTTTAAATTCCTTGTAGATCCTGGATATCAGACCTTTGTCAGATGGGTAGTTTGCAAAAATCCCATTCTGTAGGTTGCCTGTTCACTCTGATGCTAGTTTCTTTTGCCATGCAGAAGCTCTGTAGTTTAAAATTATGTGCAAAAATTACAAGGATTTCTATACACCCACAATAGACAAGCAGAGAGCCAAATCATGAATGAGCTCCCATTCACAACTGCCACAAAGAGAATAAAATACCTAGGAATATAGCTTACAAGGGAGGTGAAGGACCTCTTCAAGGAGAACTACAAACCACTGCTCAAGGAAATAACAGAGAACACAAACAAATGACAAAACATTACATCCTCATGGATAGAAGCAATCAATATTGTGAAAATGGCCATACTGCTCAAAATAATTAATAGAGTCAATGCTATTCCCATCAAACTACCACTGACAATCTTCAAAAGAACTAATTTAAATTTCATATGGAACCAAAAAAGAGCCCATATAGCCAAGACAGTCCTAAGCAAAAAGAACAAAGCTGGAGGCATTACACTACCTGACTTCACACTGCAAGGCTAAAGTAACCAAAACAGCCTGGTACTGGTACCAAAACAGATATATAGACCAATGGAATAGAATAGAGGCCTCAGAAATAACACCACACATCTATAACCATCTGATCTTCAAAAAACCTGACAAACACAAGCAATGGGGAAAGGATTCCCTATTTAATAACTGGTGCCAGGAAAACTGGCTAGCCATATACAGAAAACGGAAACTGGACCCCTTCCTTACACCTTATACAAAAATGAACTCAAGGTGGATTAAAGACTTAAGTAAACAAAACCCCAAACCATAAAAACCCTAGAAAATCTGGGCAATACCATTCAGGATATAGGCATGGGCAAATGCTTCATGACAAAAACATTAAAGCAATTGCAACAAAGCCAATTTTTTTTTTTTTTTTTTTTTTTTTTTTTTGACAGAGTCTTGCCCTGTCCCTCAGGCTGGAGTGCAGTCGCACAATCTAGCTCAATGCAAATTCTGTTTCCCAGGTTCAAGCAATTCTCCTGCCTCAGCCTCCTGAGTAGCTGGGACTATAGGCACCTGCTACCATGCCCAGCTAATTTTTGTATTTTTAGTAAAGACAGGGTCCAACCATGTTGGCCAGGCTGGTCTTGAACTCCTGGCCTCAAGTAATCTGCGCTCTCAGCCTCCCAAAGTGTTGGGATTACAGGCGTGAGTCACTGCACCTGGTAGTTTTTTTTTTTTTTTAATCTCACTAGACTTCTAACTGGCCCTGGATCGTAGCATGGTGACTTGGCAAGATCAATGGCAAAGCAGTTAAACATACTTATACTCAGGTAGGAACCTTCTTATCAATAGAAAATGCTCATGAATGTAACATTTTTAAAAATACAAAGTTTCTTCCGATAATACTGTTATAACACTAAAAACAAAAAATGAGAGGATTCATTTTAATTTTATAATAATTATAAAATACAGAAACTAAGTTAAGAAGAGTATCACAGTCACTAAAACAATACATAATCATTTATTATAAGTCCAATAAAAAAGAAATATCTAATACAGTGAATTTTTAACTGAGGCAAATTTAAAGTTGCCATTCCTTATAGAAAGCCCAGAGAAGCATAAATTAATACCAAGCTATATTTCAAAATGATTACCATGGAGTGAAACATTATTATTAGAATGTAGACCTAGGAAGTGCTTTCAAGGATCATCTGAGTTAACCCCCAACTTCTGGCAGATGCATGCAGAACTACTTAGAATTCATATTTCATTTCTTCAATTCTCCAACGATGTAGACTCCTTAAAGTCTCTTGATAATTATTCCAGGGTTTAATCAACCTTAAAATCAGAGAGATTTCTGCATTTGTACAATGCAACTATGTTTTAATGTAAATCCATTTTCCTTGTTAGGTTTTCATAGAATCTCCTTATAAAAATACTTCACGTACTTGAAAATGGAAATCAGGCAAAGCTTTAGCCTTTTTCAGTCTTGAAGAGTTTACAGAATTTTCCCTTCTCTCAGGTTTTCCTCATACGACCAGTTTTTCATGATTTTAGTCATCTCATTTATCTTTAAACCTCAACTTATTTCTCCATATTACTGAAAAATCTGTATCCAAGCCGGATCCAGTCATAAGACAAGAGTCAGTGAATATTCAAAAGAAATGTTGATGGTAGTGAGTCATTAGAAATAGTCCGTCCTCAGCCCACACTTCTATTATTAGTTTGGTCCTTAAGAGTAAGCTTCCATACATGTTTTTACAGAATTTTGCCCTTTTGAAAAAATACAATGCTCTAATTTGTCAAGGTCATCTAAAATTTAGTCTTCTAAACTCCAATAATTCTCAAGGCCTGAAAAGTAAGGTGACATTTGCACCTCAAAGTTAAGGTTTTTAATAATACTTCTTATCAGTTAACTTAAATAAGTTACAATATTCGTTAAAATAGTATGTCCTTCTTAATTGGATTCTGTCGCCCATTTATTGTTTCTTTTTGTATTTTACAACCTACCGTTTAAAAAAGATGGTTCATGGAGATTAAAAAAAGAAAAAGATGAAAATAAATGGTATGTAGTCAAAAACATGATACTAAGTCGTTTTTAATTATACGTTTAATTTGATAAAAATTTGTGTGACATATTGCAAATTCAGAAATTCTTACTTGTATATAATTGTAATGGCTCTTTTATCCAGCATTTTGAGAAAAGGCAACATAATAAATTCTCATTTACCTTTGGCAAATAATTTCTCTGAGGATATTCAGTGCCTACAAGAATATTGCATCACCAAAAGCACTAAATCAGATCTCCTCTTATGCTTTTTAAAAATATTAATAGAGTTTTTGCTGAAATGTTTTTTTAGATAGAGTCTCACTATGTTGACCAGGCTGGAGTGCAGTGGTGGGATCTCAGCTCACTGCAGCCTCCATCTCACAGGTTCAAGAGATTCTTAGCCTCCCGAGTAGCTGGGACTACAGGCGTGCACCACAACGCCTGGCTTATGTTTTGTATTTTTAGAAGAAATGGGGTTTCACCACCTTGGCCAGGCTGGTCTCTAACTTCTGACCTCAAGTCATTTGCCTGCCTCAGCCTCCCAAAGTGCTGGGATTATAGGCCTGAGCCACCACACTGGGCCTTTTTCTGAAATTGTATATTTTAAATATCGTATAAAATTTCCAAACCTATAGAAAAGTTAAAAGAACTGGACAATAAACACTTGAATAACCAGCAGCTAGATTTGACAATTAACTTTTCACTACTTTTGCCTTATTGTGTATCTGTCCATTAATCCAATTTTATAGTTGTACTTGTTGCAATTCAAAGTAAATTATAGATCTGAGTGCATGTCACCTCCAAACACTTCCTATCTCCAGACCCTCCGCCAAGCCCCAGAGGACACTTTTGTGATGATTTTTCACCACAAATTCGTTTTTCCTGTTCTAGTATATGACTAGTACATGAACAGAATTATATCACATGTATGCCTTTTTTTTTTTTTTTTTTTTTTTTTTGAGATGGAGTCTTACTCTGTCTCCCAGGCTGAAGTGCAGTGGTTTGATCTCAGCTCACTGCAACCTCCACTTCCCAGGTTCAAGCGATTCTCTTGCCTCAGCCTCCCGAATAGCTGG